CCGGAAATAGGAGATTCCTGAGGTCATTTGAAGCAACTTTTTCCTTTAGAAAAATTTCCTCCGAGGCGTCGTTTACGAGTTATTAACGAAAAAAAGTAACCAATCGGTGAGCGAGTGCGACCGTCGATCCGCCCTTCCGGCCAATACCGCGTCGCGCCGGCCGCCCGAGGTCGCGAGGGCGGGGCGTCGGCTGCACTCGCTCTCTCATTGGTCACTGCTTTTTCGTTAATAACTCGTTAACGATGCCTCGGCGAAAATTTTTGTAAAGGAAAAAGCTGCTTCAAATGACCTCGGGAACCTCTCACTTCCGGATTGCGAGACATTTTTGAGTATACCCTATATATTTCGTGGTAGTTTTCGTCGAACGATTACAAGAGATTCTGAGAGTTGACAGGTCAGATTTGGGATGTGCAATATTTACGCTATGCTTCCAAATATGTGATAGATCGGTGTTAACGTCTAGAGGGAGGTGAAGTGTGTGCTCAGTTCAATATCGATCGGGTAGGTACTGGATATAGTTTTTGTGGTTCATCGAGATTGTTCTCTCCTGTTCTCGGGCGGGCAAATCGATAAGGGGGACGGTGTCAGAGAATAGAGAAACATCGCAATTAATTAGAACGCGGGCAACGTATCGTGTTGTAATCTGCTTACCTATTACTGTTGCGGGCTGTTGTTCCGGCGACGGTGTAGAGGACAGTCGTCTGACCGCCTCCCTTCTCAAGAATTCTACCTTGGCCATTTCGGTGGCCACCCAGTGCGGTATGTCGGGTATCGCGCAGATTATGATGAACCGTATCGCCAGCATGATATGTTCCAGGGCGACGATCAGCAGGATCGTCTGGGTGGCCGACATCTCTGGGAACATTCGCTGCACTTGCCCGCTCAGTCCGATCAACGCGCAATTCACCAGTATCGCGACCAGTCCCATCGCCTCCATCGCGTTCTGAACAATTCAACGATTCAAGATGGATCGATTATTAACACATTTTTTCACGCGACATATAATATTTGCAAAACCGACAGTAAGGTTTTGATAACAAGCATACACGTTTCCCCAGAATTATGGTATTTCAAGGAAACGACGGGATTCCTGAGGTCATTCGAAGCAACTTTCTCCATAGCAAAAATGCGATCCGCGGCTTCGTTTACGAGTTATTCAAGAAAAACAGTGGCCAATGGGAAGCGGGCACGGCTGACGCTCCGCCCCCGCGACCACTGCCGCTGCGTCAAACGAACGGCGCGACGCGGCATTGGGCAGAGCGCCGGCCGCGCTTGCTCTCCGAGTGGTCACTGCTTCGACCGCTCGGCCGCCCGCCTAGCGCTAGGCGAGCTCGTCTCTCATTGGTTAGTGTTTTTCGTTAATAACTCGTAAGCATTCTCGCTAAGGAAAACGCTGTAAAAACGAGGCGCAAAGCTCGAATAATCGTGTGACTCAAATTGTCCATTTTTGTTTCCAAGTTGCAGGACAATTGCGGAGAATTTATTGTATTCGCAATATTAATTAGACGCTTCTACGCGAGATACAAAATCATGGCTGTCGCGCATGCGTTCTCGAGTCGCTCACCTGCCAAGTCCCGATGTTGGAGACCCTCCGACCGAACGGCCGCTGCAGAACGAAGCAGAGCTTGAAAGCGTCCCCGCGAAGCTCGAGCAGATTTCCGAGCAGGGCCGCCATGGCTGCCAGCGGGAACGCCGAGGAGAACAGGCATACGTAGCCGAGTTGCGACAGCATCTCCAAATGCTCCGAGAACGCTCCATCGTACTGCAAAAGATAAAACGGAAACGATCGCGTGTGAACGATCACGAGTCCGGGGCATCGTTCGAAATCGATCCTTGAAACGAAACAGCACGGTTAGTTGTTGTTGTTATTCATCGAGTCGAACACAGTTGCCGAGCTCGCAGCCGTTTTATCGTCGTCGAGAACGAGAGACGGACGCGTGTCGCACTACGTCGTACAAACGTACTTAACCTTGGTCTGAGCGCATCAATTAAAGTTACATAAAGCGGCGCGTGGGGCCCTCGACGGCCCACTCAAATCGAGTGGTAATCGAGGGACCTGTAAAAACAATACCGTAAAAAAATTGCGATGCTGTGACTCTTAATTGAAACTTAATTAATTAACACTATGCCGTCCGGTGGCACCACGCTGGGTGCCATGCAAAA